ATATATATGGTTCAGCATAATTTTCTTTTCACTTGGCCTCAATTTTTACCTTACTTCTTTTTTGTTTTGTTTTGTTTTGAGACAGGTTTCCCTGTGTGGCCCTGGCTGGCCTGGAACTCACTCTGGCTGGCCTTAAACTCAGAGATCCACCTGCCTCAGCCTCCTGAGTACGTGTGCCACCACTGCCAGGAATCTTGGTATCTTTTTATATTGCAAACTAAAGCATGGGCAGCATGAAATAAAACTTTGAAAGAATAATTCCAAAAAACCATTTTTTTTATAATAGCTTAGAAGGAGGTTGGGTGCCCAACAATATATTTGAACGTCGAATGATTGTGAGTACAAAGTGTGAGGCCAGTGTCGTGGTTCTAGTGTGGAGAAATTACAGACGGGGTTTGTGTGACCCCAGACACTGGGTGCTTCACGTTGCTGGAGGCTCATCATAACCGTCTGCTTCAGATCGTTACCAGGACTGTTCCTCCATGCCGTAAGTGTGTGTCAACGTCTTTCCATGCCTAGGAAATTCCTAAATGCCACATTCATAACCTACTGTACCTTCACTCTTTTATTGGTGCAGAGGTAACTGGCTGCAAAATCCGTGTATTCATTTAACATAAGTTTTCTAGCCAGCGTTCGTTATTTTCAGCGTTTCTGTAAACACCGGGTTATTCATTCATTTGTGAGTCACACATAGCAGGCTTTAAATAATTTACTCAAGTCAAACCCTTAGCAGGACTTACCACCCGTCTCCTAGTGCAACAGAGAAGAGCAGCCTGAGATGCCAGGGTTGGGGAGCTGGTCTGGAAACTCTTTTAGGGGTGACAGGGGAAGTGCAAGCCTGTCTCCTGCATGTGGTGATCCAGGTGTCCCCATTGAGCACTGGTTTGGCTCCTGCTTGCAGGTTAGAGAAAGTGCTGATGCAGAACATTAGCTAGCGTACATGGGCCGTCAGCTTGCCGAGAGTGGATGCCTTCCCCAAAAGCAAGTTTTCATGAATGAAAAGTAGAAGCCAAAATAAAAATGCAACCATTTTTGACTTCATTCTTTGCCTTTCATACACATTAAAGGGGTTGCTTTGGAATAGGTCTGGTGGTCATGGTGATTTTTTTAAAATTAAAGATTTACTTATTCATGTCTGTGTGTGAAGGTACACTTACATGTGTGTCGGTCAGTAGAGGCCATCGGTGTCCTCTGACACCTGATTCTGTCTTCCAGTCACCTGCTCTTTGGAGGCAGGGTCTCTCCCTGAAGGTAGTGTTCCCACTCTCTCATCTAGGCCAGAAGCTAGCAGGTTCCAGCGATCTTTATCTCCACTCGCCTTTTACAGGTGAACTGCTTTTGTGAGTGCTGGGATTCGAACTCTGGCCCTCACAGTCGCAGAACAAGTAGCTGCTGAGCCATTTCCCCAACCCCTCACTGTGATTCTTACCTGCTAAAAGGCATGGGTCGTGTTCTGCCAAATACTCCTCAGAGCCGTGTTGACTGTGCGTTGGGATGGGATGAAATCACCGGATCCGTTTTATTTTTACTCTGGCACAGGTTTTCTGCAGCTTCTGGTTTTGAACTCTAGTAAGAAAATTTAGTCCTTGGTATCCAAATAGGGTGGAAGGACCATCCTCATGTTTTTATCCTCAATTCTTTCACTTTGGAGTGCCACTGCCAGGTCTGTAGTGAAGGAGTTTCCTGCTCAGGTTTGGGTCACTCTTGTGATTATCTTTGTGTAGGTGATGCCCCAGCACCGCAGCTGCCCCTCCCCAACACCGCGGCTGCCCCTCCCAACACCGCGGCTGCCCCTCCCAACACCGCGGCTGCCCCTCCCAACACTGCGGCTGCCCCTCCCAACACTGCGGCTGCCCCTCCCAACACTGCAGCTGCCCCTCCCAACACTGCGGCTGCTCCTCCCAGCACTGCAGCTGCCCCGCCCAACACTGCGGCTGCTCCTCCCAGCATCCAGCTGCTACCCCCCAGATCAGCATCGGCAGTGCTGGGAGGTCTAGAACCGCTGCTGCCCGGTTCTCAGTCTCCTAAGACTGCACGGCTTCCTCCCTCACTGCGCTGACCTCCCTTCAGTACACCCACGCCCTTAAAAAGCAGAACTGCCTGGTGGGGTTACATCCACTGGGCCTCTCGAGTCTATTCTTTGTTCAAGGCCAGAGTCCTGCTTGCTTCTTGTGTGTTCCAAAGAAAAGCAACTCCTGATTTTTACCATGGATGCCTTTCTTGTGTATTGTTTGACACGTGAAAATTCCAGCTAAAGCAGGGCTTTGTTTAATTGAGACTTCAATAAGATCTACTGTAACCTGCTACCCAGGCCAAGGCCGGCTGCTCAGGTGCACGGCTGTTCAGCCTTGGTTGCATGGGAGCCTTGTCTCACCGAGGTCCTTTGGTGCTTGTCACCTTAGATCTGATAATCTAAGCATAATACAGCAGAATGGATTAGGGATTTACGATGCATTTGTACAACGTATTCTTTCTCTTTGAGTTCTAGCTGATGGAAATGCCATACAAGGTTTCACAGCACAATGGAGACCAAAGTGGGATCTTTACTACAGACTTTGTATGTGGGCAGGAAACCTCCCAAGTGGAGGGCAGACAACTGACGAATTCTGTTGGTAGAGGTAGCGTGCAGGCCATGACAGGAGATAGGCCTTTGTGTCTCAGTGGGAAACTGCACATTTTAGTGCGGCAGTGGCAAGAAAAGATTTGGATGGGCAGTGATGGCCCACGCCTTTAATCCCAGCACTCGGGAGGCAGAGGCAGAGGCAGGTGGATCTCTGTGAGTTCGAGACCAGCCTGGTGTATAAAAGCTAGTTCCAGGACAGGTTCCAAAGCTACAGAGAAACCCTATCTCGAAAAATCAAAGAAAAGAAAGAAAGGAGAAAGAAAGGAAGAAGGAAAGAGAAAGAAAAGAAAGAAGAAAGAAAACAAGATTTGGAGCAGAAAGTTGGCAGTGAGACCTACAGCCGTTGAGAGTAGCTGGAAGGGAAAATGTCCTCTCTGACGCTTTCCCCAGTCCTACAGTGAGGTGGGGAGGCTGGAACTAGGGCACAGAATCCACTATGTATGAAAGTAGGGTTCAGCTTGAAGGTGCAGCCTGAGTTGTTTTCAGATCCTAATATGCAGAGCTAAAAGTATAACTGATGGGGCTGGAGAGATGACTCGGTGAGCTAGAGCTTTTGTTACTCTTGCAGCATTTGGTTCCCAGTACCCACAAGGTGGCTTAGAGCCAACCCAAACTGCATTCCAGGACCATCTTCTCAACTCTGTAGGCACCAAGTGTGTGCACGTACAAATATACACACAGGTATATCACGTGCATACCCCCCCCACACAAACATTCTTAACATAACCCAAGAACGTGGCTGTTCCTCCTTCCTGAGGCCTGCTTTGGACACACTGAACTGAAGTGCTGATCTCAAGTGAGGACCAATGGAGGGGGGCTGGCAAATTGGACATTAGAGACCATAACTTAGAGGCCTGAGATCCGAGATGTGCATTTTTTTTTTTTTTTTTGCATCCCAAACTGGCCTCAAACTTGTTAAGTGTGTAGCCAAGAATGACCTTGAGTCTCTGATCTTTCTGTTTCCGTCCAGGGCCTCATACCTGCTAGGCAAGCACTATACCAATTAAGCTCAAAACCCAGCCTGATGTGGTGTATTTTCGTAAGAAGATTCTGACAGTTTGGAAGGTGGTGTTTTAATAGCTCCCAAAATCCCGACCTGAGTTCTTTCAGGTTATTCTTCCGCATTCTTAATAGGAAGGGCAAAGCGTCTCAGACTCGGGTTCCTCAGCTCCCCCTCCCAAACTCAACTCCAAGAGGGATCTGGCATACGACAGTGTCACAGTGGGTAGGGTTCGCTGAGCTCATGAAGGTATTACTCCTGGCTGGTTTGCCCACTATGTTGTATTATAAAACAGCCAGGTTTTTAATAATATTGTGGGCCCGTTCACCATTTGTTAGGGCCCCCGCCAGACTTTTCATTGGAGTAAGCCTTCAGCTGTCAAGCCGTGGTGGCACAGATACATCGAGATACATCGTTTCAGGGTAAAATCAAATCCGTTGAAATGAGTGCGCCTCTGTGTTAACGCCTTTTGAAGTAGCTACATTTATCTGAAACAGTTCCATAAGGAGAAGAAATAAATTAATGGAATTGGCTTGGCGTATTCTTGGTTCTAGTTCAAAGTGGAAGGGAAGGGTTTTAAGGGAACATTGATGCTCCTGTCAATTGTCAAAGTATAGGACTAAATCTTCTTAAATAGGAAATACCCAAATAAAACCACAGATTGTAAATTCACGAGAGAAATGCATCAGAATATTCTCTGCTTGAAATTCATCTTTTTTACACAAAGAAACCAGCAGTAGTTCAGGAAAATTGGTTTCTAAGGGTAAATTACCCAAGGTTACTCTCCCGTATTTAAAAACAAAACAAAGAACCATCAGCTGGGACCAGGAGCTATTGCTGGGAAAAAACACTTGCTGCACCTGCCTGGTGGCCTGATTTTGACCTCTACGACCTACACACAAAGGCAGCTGTGGTGGTGTGCCTTGGAACAACAGCACTCCTGTGGGAAGCTGGGAGATAGAGGCAGGAGCTTGGCCCCGTAGCCTGGAGTGTGCAATGCTGCTGCTGCAGCAAGCCAGAGACCCGCCTCAACAAGGTGGAAGGCAAGAACTCTCCTGGTGCCCCCTGACTGCCACGTGGATGCCACGGCACATGCATGGTACACATGCATCTCCGCTCAGTCAGACACAGACATGAAACCACGGGATGGAGAGATGGCTCAGCTTGCTGCTTCTACAGGGAGCCTGAGTTCAGTTTCTAGCACG